GTAGCGGCCTTGCAACGGCTGATCCCCCGTCCAAGGAGTCCTACCGACTGTGTATAGGATTAAGAAACGGAAATAGCGGTCAAGGTCCAACAAAAGGGCCATAGAGCCATAGACAGATACATTTGCTTGTAGTTTTGTATGGGTGCGAAACTTGGTCTCTGTCATTGAGGGAGGAACATAGACTGAGGGTGTTTGAGAACAGGGTGTTGAGGAGAATATTTGGACCGAAGAGAGATTAAGTGACGGGAGGTTGGAGAAAACTGCATAATGAGGAGCTTCATAACTTGTACTCTTCTCCAAGTATAATTAGAATGATCAAGTCAAGGAGGATGAGGTGGGCAGGTAATGTAGTACGCATGGGAGCTGAAAAAAGAGAACTGCATACGTTGTTCTGATGGGAAAATCCGAAGGAAGTAGACTACTAGGAATACCTAGGGGGAGGATAATATTGAAGTGGCTCATAGAGAAACAGGATGGGGGATGTGGATTGGATTCATCTGGCTCAGAAGAGGGAACAGTACCAAGATTTTGTTAGCGCAGTGATGAACCTGCCATTTCCATTGACTACGTGGAATATCTTGAGTGGCTGAGCAACTGGTGGCTTGTCCATGGATCTGTAACAGCCGTGAGAGGACCTTCGGGTCGCCGCCGCCGCGGTTTCCCCACCAGGAGAAGCGAAGACACAGAACACACAGAAGTGTTTGTTGTGACTGCAGTTCATTCAACTGTGACAGTGACTACAGCTCTGCTCGCTTGGCGTGCCGTGCCAGGGGTTTTTTGTTTGAAATATTGGAGGCGTTCACCTTATTGAGTGTCTGGCCTCGTTTACTAATCCACTCTTCCAGTCTGGAGCTATAAGCCGTGCTCTGTTCCATGAACCAGGGCGAGCGAATCACGATCGTTGGCGGTCATCTCCGTGCGAAAGTGACGTGCAATGTGGGATCCGTGTCTGGTAGCAGGCCAGACGTCAGAGATCTACCGGGGTGAAAACAAAGTTCCATCAGATGCGTTATGTTTGGACGCTTTGTTCGTGGGTTCTGTAATGGGACTTTATCAACTGAAGATGTTATTTTGCGTCGAACGAGATGAGATGAAGAATTTAAATTTACAGAAGCGACAGGAAGTGATTGTTTCCAAATCCTGTCTCTACAGTGCTTCCCAGTCTGGTAGCCTCATTTCGGCTAAAGTCAGTGTTTTTGTAAGAATGGTTTAAATTAGACCACACACTGGTCTACTGTGACAATGTTATGCTGCCGAATCATGCCGCACGTCACTTATTTCCGCTTCTTAGATCGTCTCACACGCAAACTTGTGTTAAAATCTTAAAATACCCTTTTAATTTTAAATCATTGGTGCCCTACGTGTTTCGACCCATATCGTCATCAAGTGCTTCGAAAATTGATGTTGAAAACTGCTGCACTTACGTCAATAAATATAATTCCAAATTGTACCCTGTTCTAGTGCTGTGTGATTCCTCTTACAGTTGCGCATGACACGTAAGAGGAACCACCTAGCACTACAAAAGCAAAAACCACTCATGTGCTCATAAACGAGGGCATACTTTGGAATTCATTGACGGAAATGAAGCAATTCACAGATCACCACAGCACCCGCTAAACCTTTTTCCAGCCTGCTGTGTCTTCAACAGTCGTTCCATAGCAACGGCTTCTAACAGTGAAGATTTTTAAGCTTTCCGCACTCACGCCATTACCGTTGGGCGAATATCCCGCAACTACACAACTACAGCGACATGTCTTCTCAGCCTCCCTTGCAGAACTTAACTCACACAAACATCGCAGACTTCACTTCACAGCCTCCCGTATAGTAGAACTGCCACGCTACAGAGCCCTACCGGTTAATGCTGTTTAGGGAAACAGTCTCTGTTTATTGTGAGAATCTTACAAAACGCATAAACATTCTGTGGGTAGAATGCAGAGCAGATGGTACATACAGTAACCACTGGGCTCTAAAGGGTTAGTAGCTTGCCTTTGTAGTGGTAAAACAGGAAGAAATAGGCGTAAGGCACGTGAGAGGTATTCATACTTTGAGGAAGGTCGATTTTATTGTGATTGAATGCCCATGTGCTGCATGTGTGCTGTATTGAACTGGGTTGATATCCGTCCAGAAGCCTCGAGTACTGAAATTCTAGAGCTGAGCCTTCCACCTCGCACGGCGTAGGGTGGGCGCCGTGAGTTGGGTTTCCGCAGGATAGCAGAAGGAAGGCTATTATCAACGTAATTTAAATGCATAAGCCTAAGCATTTATTTGTCACACATGTAAAATTCAAGTTCACCCTAAGTAGTGAAGTATAAGGCATAAAACTGGCTTCTTATTAAGTTGGCATATTTACTAATTTACTAATTATTATTATGATTTACTAATCAATGCAAGTAAACGTTACGTGTATGACCCAGAATTAAGGTTTTAATTTTTGTATGCAAATGAACTCTGATATACATCAAGTGTTACGTCAGACAGTGAGATGAGATGGTGTCAGTCATTGTACTGGTTTTACATTGAGACAATTAAAAGAGCAGGTTTCATCACAAAATTATTTCCAAGTTTTCGAGAACACACCCGGTCCACTAAAAGTATCCTCCAATGAACTTAATTTTATTTCGTAAATATTCGCTTCTGTCGCAGAAGTATGAAGGTTGCATTATAACCAACCGTGGCATTGCCTCCTTGATCTCATTTATGACATCGTCTCTGCGTCTAAACAGAGGTCCAGCGTAGAAATACAGTAAACCGGATATATTTGTTGAGACAGTTCCTCATCAAGAGAGTCTTAATGTTTCTACATCTCAGAATTTGCCGGAACATGGCTTCTGAGATGCGAATGCCGGACACGTCGAGGTGTTGCAACTCCGGACAGCTTTCGGCAAAGAATTTCATAGCCTTCTTGCCCACGATTTTGCAGTCCGATACATCCAGGTACTTTAGCTTCTTACAGGAACGGATATTCATAAGCCCTCTGCAATGAAGGCGATGGTTTCCTTCCAAATAGAGATGCATAAGTAAAGGAGATTTCAATGTGACCGTATTCAGAAGTGCATTGATGTCTCCATGTGTGTTCGGTAAGCCGATGTACGCTAAATGAGATAACAGGTCATGAAATAAAGTTAAAATGATTTGCTTTTCCACATAAGGTAGGCAATGATGTACTTCGAGCGTTGTCAAGTTTCGTAGCTGGGTAATTGGAGGTATTTCGTGAAATGGCTCGAAAAACTATATCATGCTGTCATAAATTAGTGACGCCGGTCACAGTAGCCGAGCGGTCTAGGGCATGAACTGTCTTCGCTTCCTCTGAAGTCGGGATCGTGGGTTCGAATCCCATATAAGGCATAGATGTTTGGTGTGTGTATGCGTTTATTCTGTGTGTGTGTGTGTGTGTAGTCGTGTGTTTAGGTAAAGGCTTTGCGACGAGCTGATCACCCGTCCAGGGATACCTACCTACTTTACAAATTATCAGTGAAACTGAGAAGTGCCCCAAAGTGGCAGCAAGACGAAGAAAAAAATGTGTCAGTGACAAGACACGGGTTTGCATTGATGACTGGATGTACTGAACACTTATTACTTGTAACTACAAATCATTGTAATACTATCGATAGTCTGCTACTTTTTACAGATCGATACAGATACAATGGACACTATAGTATTCCATATCTTCACTGATCGTTGCTTGTTAACAGCTTCTGACAATGGAAATTCTTCAGCCAATTTCTGCTGGCCTTGGCCAACAACGTCGTTCTTGGTTTCGAGTCCCGTCGGACCCCAGTTCTAAAACGAAGTAACAAAGTAATAACACAAAGTAGACGCACATAAAATATCTTTTTTAGCTGCATGCCTTTTCAGATAGTTCTTATTGTGCCGCTTTTCATTCTCCTTACATGTAGTCAGATTGCTTCATTCAAATAGTTATAAAGCAAAGCTATCCCTATGAAACAGTCAGCCTTACACACCGGCCGTCCTTTACTCCCCCCCCCCCCGGAAGATTCCTAGTACTCATTTCCGTTAGACGCTGAGTCGATCTCAGGGTCATAGTGCGGCAGGAAGAATTGGGTCAATTGAAAAATCCGATCACCTCATCGGGACTCGAACCCGCGACCTTCAGGCTTGTAGCATAGTACCTCAACCAACTACACTACCAAGTGCCCTCATTTAAACAAGTAGAAATAAATAATTCAAACGAGTTGTGGTTTGACCCTCATGTTACCCGAAGCATACAGGTGTTTCAGTATACAGGAAGAAGTCATCCAAACTCGGGAGCGGACCCCACAGTGAACATCAGATGTTCATAATGTTAGCATAACGACAGAGCCGTTGTCACAAGTTTCAGCGGTTATGATGTGATGTAATCGTGGTACAGGTTTACCGATGTTTTGGGGGAACATATTGCTTCCACCTTCAGTGTCGTAAACCGTCCAAGGAGTCGACAGTTACTGTGCCTGAATATGGAGGGAGTCTGTTTCTGCGGAACGGCGTCACACCCCAGCGGATGATACATGCTTCTACAGGGAGACGCTTGCGTGACTTACCTATACCTCATGACGTCTTGCGGAATTGAAAGATTCGAAGCAGGGGTATTCTGAATAGAGAGCAGATAGGCTTGGTTCGGAATGAGTTTTGTATTGGGCCCCTTCTCTGTGCACTCGAGTCATGGGAGAGGCCCCCTCAGAGACCCTGATATGTCTACTGTGCGAACAAGGGCGGCATACTTGATGTAGCCAACTTTACGAAAGAAAGATCCCTATAAATGGGTAAGAATTTGGGATCGGCGTCTGAGTACCGAAATATTTTGAAAATAAGGAGCTTTGATTTTATGACGGTGCTGTAACCATGCATTTCAATAACTGACAAACTGACAAGGCACCATTGTTCTCACAGCAGATGGATCCGCGCTTTGTGCCTAGCACAGCCCGACACGTTGAAGGGGAGGGTACATTGAGCGTGGTTTCGGCAGGTTGGCAGTCGGAAGACGATTCTTAAACAAAACTGGATCTTGTATACGTAATTGTTTACTTGTCACACGTTTGCAATACAAGCGAAGTAGTGAAATGTCACCAAAAGTTTACAGAATAAAATATTTAAAAATTGGCTTCCTGTTAACATATTTACTAATGTGCCGAAGTTAACGCTACGTCAGTGTATGGGAATGATTCGATTGTTGGTTCTTCAGTCCTGATGTACATCACAATGTTCGGAAGCCAGAGGAAAGTTGCGCTGCGGTAATGACAGTTACGCGGCGTCATATATTGGCCGATGTCAGTGACTCAAGTTTGTGCGCTATGACAGTTAAGAAAGCGGATTCTGTTTACCCACCACAAAAGTATTTCCAGGTTTTCTAGAACACACCCCATCGACTACAGTATTCTTGAATTAATTCAGTTTTAATCCCGTGGTGCTCTTCAATAACCAAGGGGGCCATGACTTTGTGTATAACCAAGCGTGGCATTGCCGCTTGCAGTATATTTATGGCATTGGTTGGCAATTCATAGTTAGCCCCAATGTAGAGGTACGATAACCCGGGCATATTTGGTGGGACAAGTTTGAAATCAACATGTTTTGAGAAGCAGTTTATCATCAAGAGTTTCTTGAGGTTCCTACATCTCACGATTTGCTGGAACATGCCTTTCACCATGGGAATGTCGGACACGTCGAGTAGTTCGAGAACGGGACAGCCTTCAGCAATCCACATCATACCCAAGACGCCCAGATTTAGGCAGTTCGATACATACAGGCACTGCAGCATCTGACAGGAACCTATATTCTCCAGCGCTCTGAAACCAAGTTCCTTATTTCCTCCCAAATCGAGATGCTTAAGTAAAGGACACTTCACTATGATCTCGCTCACGATTGTTTCGATGTTCCCGGCTGAATGATGTAAGTCAATGTAATTTAAGCGAGGTAAGACGTTAATAAAAAACCTTAGCGGAATTTCTTGTAGCGTACGTGTTGTACAGTTTGACAGTCGGAGCGCAGTCAAGTTTTGTAGCTGTGTATGATTAATGGGAGGCAGTTCATGGACGTTGCCATCAATGTCGCCATCCACGAAGGCGACGCTTTTCAGATTCGTGCACTCGATCATGGCCTTCATCAGAGCTGCAAAGATGTGTCCAGGATGAATGTAAGTTTGAAGCTGATACTTCTTGAATTTCATCAAGTAACAAATTTCACTGTCAGGACAGTTGAAATCTTCACATTTCAGCGTCTTCAGATTGGGACAACCGTCCGCGATGGGTTTCAGCACCCCGGCCGCCGGAGATCGTGTACTAGGAGAACGCAAAGCTAAATGAAGTAGAGTTTCTGATTGAGCAATAATGCTAGTGAGTTGAGAACCTTCCGTGACAGGGTTAATTAAAATATGAAGGGTGCTCAACTCAGTTAGACGTTCCATAGTTAATCTGAGATGTGTCGGATTTAATGTTAAGTTGGGAATTATTAAGACGCTGATTTTCCTACAGCATTCAGACAGTTTTTCTACGACATTGTGAGTGCCACGGTATTGAAATTTTCTCAGTTTCGGCATATTCTCCAACATAAACGCAATCTCATTTTCTTGGGTGTTTTTATTTGGAGAGTAGGTCTTCTTTATCCATATGTAATCGCGGTCAGAAAGCTTCCTCCATCGAGTGCAGACATTTCTCACGCGGAATCTGATCTGCTCGATACTTAAGTAAGAGAATATGTTCTGAAGTATCTCATCTGGAAGATTATTGATGGAGGCCATAGTCCAATCTGTAACAGAAATTTAAAAATCTGAATACCTTTGTATATGATGTCTTATTATGCGTGACGTTTTGTTGACATGGGACTAAGTAAAAATATAATGTCACTTGTACGAGTAACTATAGACGGGGTTTGGATTTGTAATTGGATTTGTTGGACTATTGCAAACGGTTAACTACAAGTTACTGTAGCGCTACCGCTGATCCAGACACTACACTACAGCACGCACTAAGTCTTCTTGGTTTGTCTTCACTGGTTGTTGTCTGGTGAAGGATCAAGTCGGAGTCAAGAGTTACTTTGCGACTGTTTATCGCTAATCAGTTAAGTCTTGGCCCCAAGACCCTACAGAATCACGACCAGAGATTTTTACAACTGAACCCTTGAGGTCATAGCCCTTATGTAACATCCTCTCTGACGAGAAGGTGGGTCTGTCTCTTATGAATATTATTTTCCTTTCGTCAAGTGTACGTATCGCACATTTAGCTTGTTATTTAAAATTCTTCTTTTTGCATTGTACACAAGTCCAGGCTTCGCGGAGCAGATCATTCCTATCCTACGTATCGTATGCTACAACGGCAACTTATTCCCTGGACGGTCGTGATCTTGGCCACCGCTAAGTTTAACGGATCCCGTAATCCGTCCCTGGCATATATTATCGAAGCGGCCCACATAGAAAACACCGTCTTCAGCAGCTCTTGTGTTATTGCGTTTGTGTGCGCTGCGGCTGTCACGCGTGGAAACGTGTTTACAGAACCATTACCACTCAACGGCCGTCTGTTCTGGCTTTGAGCTCCCATGTCATGAATGTGTGGTGAGGGCTTAACAGTAACAGGCTATAACCATTGGGATATATAAGCTGGTTGTCTCATGTCCTGAAAAACCCGTTCCGGGAGCATTTTGTTTGTTCACGTGATTCATTTGAAGCCGATGTGTGCAGTATCGGAGAGTCCAGTGCGTTGGCCTGCAGGCTCACCTGGCACAATTCCCGCGATGTTTCTATGTTTGAAAAAGCAGGTCAGGTAAAGTTAAAGTTAGGCCATGCCATACTTGATGCCGTTAGTTGCCGGCTTCCCACCATGTCGTCCCATGTTCAAGACCAGGTAAGGTCATGCGGGATTTGTGGTGGACAAAATGGCACTGGGCAAGATTTTCTCCGAGCACTTCTGTTTCCCCTGCCAGTTCTCAGTCCACCGACTGCTCCACATTTAACATCATCATCATCATCATCATCATCATCATCTAACACCCGGGGGGGGGGTAAAATAGGTCAATTAGTGGCTGACGTACCCAGTGGACTCAGTCTCAACCCACCACATGAAACTAAAAAAAGTTAGGATAAGGTCATTAATTGCTGTTTTATTTTGTTCTTATACAAAATCCGGTATAATCTCGGGAAATATTTGAGTTGCGTGTATGGAAGTTTGAATTGTTAGTATAGCTGCAACGTCTTAAGGAACGCCCCCAGGGTAAAAAAGAAGCAGAGCTATCCCTGTAGGTTTGTGAGACGTCCAGGTTCCCGCATTTTCTAGAAAGTCGGCTCACAGATGGCGGTAAGGTTGTTAGCCTTACGCACCGGCCGCCCTTTATCCCCCAGGAAAATTCCTAATTGAAAAAAATCCACCTCATCAGGACTCGAACACGCGACCTTCCGTTTTGTAGCATAGTGCCTTAACCAACTATACTACCGCGTACCTCCGTACGTACTTGTATGAATTTCCGCACTTAGCTTGGCACGTAATGAGGGGAGAGACTGATAATTTGCAACTTAGTGTGTATGGCATTGGCTCCTCTGGATACAGTTTATACAGCTGTGTGTGAGTGTGCACCGTGCACGTAAAAACTTCAGAATGCATTAGAACTCTCAACTGCACGCGCTTTAAACTAATTAATAAAGTAAAGCTATCCCTGTTACCGGCCGGAGCGTAAGGCTGACAACCTTACCGCTATCTATTAGCCGATTGTCTGGATAATGGGGATCCTCAACGTCTCACAACCCTATAGGCCTCTTATCCCTCTAACAGGCCATGGAGGCCCATAGGGTTGAGAGACTTCCGAGGCTTCCACACTGTTTATAGACAATCGGCTCACGGATGGCGGTGAGGTTGTCAGCCTTAGGCTGCGGCATCCCTTTACCCACAGGAAGATTTCTGATAGTCATTTCTGTTGGAGGCTAAGTCAACCCCAGGGAAAAGATTAGCTCAATTGAAATATCCAGTTACCTCGACAAGAATGGAACTCGCGATCTTCCGGGTTATAACATTGTGCCCCAACGAACTACGCTACCGCGTGCTCCTTTAAACCAATAATAATATTCGGAATTCGAAAAGAGTACCAGTAGGATACGTGCAGGGGCGCGACTCAATGTAGGGGAAGAGAAATATTCGTGCAGGCAGGAGACCCCACCTGCCCGTTACATTGGAGCAGCTGTCAGGGATAACTTTGGACTTAATATTACCCACTGTGACTGACAATGACAGACCCGCCCTCTCGTCAGAGAGGACGCTCCAAATGGACAGGACAGTAACTGTCATATAAGAATAAACATCTGGTCATGAGCCCCAGCCAGTGCTCGACATCAAGACAGACTGACTGACGGTCAGTCTAAATGTGACTTTGACTTTGACTTGACTCAGTCAAGTAACGAACAGGCCGTCCACTTAGACACTTAATGAGTTGCATATTATCACATATTTAATGTTTGGCTCTTTTAAAAAATGGGGGCCCATATTTGACAAGTTGACTCTGCACTGTCTACAGTGCATTGACAGGTACTTTATGGTGGGTGCTCTTGGAGGTAGGAAACATACACAGAAACCGTTTGTTGCTGGGGAATGTTGAGTTGAAATGTGTTATGTCTGGCCCAGGTACTGGAAAGTTCCCAATACACAGTAAACCCTCGTCAGTCCGGTTACAGTTAATCCGGATCGAAATGTGAAAAATTTAAAATCCTCTTCGCAGGTGAGTACAAACTTTTAAACGACACGTGGGATTTAGGAGCAAGAGGACTTTCAGGCTGAGTTGAGGGCAGCTGGAGAGACTGAACCCACGCAAGCAAATATACCCAGGATTGGCTTCAGCTGGATGAAGGAGAAATTGCTCGTGACAAAAAGACACGTGGGATTTAGGAACAAGAGGATTTTCGGACTGTGTTGAGGGCAGTCGGAGAGACTGAACCCGCGCAAGCAAATATACCCAGGATTGGCTTCAGCTGGATGAAGGAGAAATTGCTCGTGACAAAAAGACACGTGGGATTTAGGAACAAGAGGATTTTCGGACTGTGTTGAGGGCAGTCGGAGAGACTGAACCCGCGCAAGCAAATATACCCAGGATTGGCTTCAGCTGGATGAAGGAGAAATTGCTCGTGACAAAAAGACACGTGGGATTTAGGAACAAGAGGATTTTCGGACTGTGTTGAGGGCAGTCGGAGAGACTGAACCCGCGCAAGCAAATATACCCAGGATTGGCTTCAGCTGGATGAAGGAGAAATTGCTCGTGACAAAAAGACACGTGGGATTTAGGAACAAGAGGATTTTCGGACTGTGTTGAGGGCAGTCGGAGAGACTGAACCCGCGCAAGCAAATGTACCCAGGATAGGCTTCAGCTGGATGAAGGAGAAATTTCTAGTGACAAAAAGACGCGTGGGATTTAGGAGCAAGAGGACTTTCAGACTGTGTTGAGGGCAGCTGGAGAGACTGAACCCGCGCAAGCAAATATACCCAGGATTGGCTTCAGCTGGATGAAGGAGACCCTGGTGTTCAGCTTCTGACGCGGGAAGAAATTGCTGAAGAGATATTTTTTAATTTACAGTAAAACTTGGTTATAGCAACATCGGTTTCTGCGACACCTCGTCTATTGCGTCAAATATTCAAAGGTATGAACTAATTCCTCATAAAGCAACTGTTTTTATACCTTGCTTAGTACGACATGCACAAATGCATCAACCTCGTATGTAACGTCATTTTCATTCCTGAATTTCTCTGATATGGACATTGAACGTAATTTAGAAAGTGTGTATTGGGCAAGTAACAGGAAACAGATGAAGATAACTGATTACTGTACTCGTATCTAGGTACAGTAAGGCACAACAATTGATGTAATCTACTGTAATTTGGTGAGTAGGCCTACCTTTAATATACAGTATTAGTGTACGGTGTGTATTGTCAGTGAAAAGCGCTGTAATATGTCTTTGATATTACACATTTGGGCAATTCCACGTTAATGTTACGTTAGTCTTTACTTAACTACGTATTTCACTAAAAAATGCAACATTTTAACTCGGTTTTTGGTAGATTTTTACGTGACTAACATAAGGCTACTGTGGAAGTGCCCATTTCGGTTACAACGACATTCGATTATAACGACACTATTTTTAGGTCCCTTTGATGACGTTATAACCAAGTTCTACTGTATTTCCATCAGCGCTGTCTATTATTAAACTTTCCATGTATTTATTTCCCGAGTTTTTTTTTTCTTTAGGGCTAACTTTTGCTTAATTACTCGAGATTAGCGGTTAACCCGGATGAGCTCCACATTTAATCAGAGAGGGGTTTATATATATTCCATACAGAAGCAATTATGATCGACGATGTTTCGAACTTTTGGAGATATGTAGGGCTGTAGGGGCTCATGTATGTTAGCCTTCTAGACCAATATAAAATTTCTCCCTAAACATATGCAATTTGTTTGGCTGTTGAAGTGTTAATGAGAAACAGACTAATTATATTCTGTAGAAGTCTATGTTTTAATATTTTAAATTTTGTGACAAGTTTCAGCGTTCAGGGAATTCTTATATTTACGAAACTTCTCATTGATTTTGTTTATTTGTTTCTTAAAGGAGTGTAAAGAAATATACTGTAGCATCGACAGCCCTAACTAATTGGGGTACAAGTGTGTTGGGACTATGGAGTGGTTAAAATCACTGGATTTGAAGTAAAATTGTACTTTCAAGGTGCATCTTATGTACAAAGAACGAATGGAAGAGGCGGGGGTTCGGCTACGCTACAAGCTGGGCTCGGGGCGAACGTTAGCCGGATTAAATCTTCTACCATCCACAGAGGCAGGTTCATTAATATATAATATATTTTACCAGCAGCCAGTAATTAACTAATGATTCATCAATTGATTGAATTAAATTTGAACAAATTGAAGGTGCTTTTCTTTTGTTGTACTCTCAGTCAATTCTGATTAACGTGCGTTCGTAATACAGTCAGTCTAAATTGTTTAATTTTAAACGAAACTACTCCATTCAAATATTCATTATGTCTACGTTTGTAAATAGAGCCTGTAACATGTCGAAGTCAAACGAATCAGTAGGCAAATTCTGTCTGTCCGTACGATTTGACTTACCTGGAGGCGTCCGCAGCAGCTGAAGGGTAGGCAGGGACTGAACTGCCCCCGCGATGTGCCCACAGCAACAGAACCAGAGTCAGGGCGCACCCTCGCGGTGGCACTCGACGTCAAATGGATGTAGTCACGTCGATATACTGTTCATCGACTTTTCAGATCGCATGACTTTAAACAGAAAGCTATAAAGTAAGACATAATTAAGGCCGCGGCAGAGCTCATGCGGTTAAGTCTCCGGTTTTCCATCGCGACGGCCCTGGTTAAAGCCCAGGTCAGGTCATATGGGATTTGTGGTGGACAAAGTGGCGCTGGGGCGGGTTTCCTCTGCCAATATTCATTCCACTAATTGCTCCACAATCATCATCTGCTACAATGCAGTAATGGCCGTAGTAGCAAGTGGACTCAGTCTCACCGCACCAAGAATTGGAGCCAATCCTGCTCAGCGGTTTAGACTGAAGTAACAGCCATTCAGTTTATGCCTGGCTTTCTGAATACAGGTCATGTTTTATTTTCGTAATCGTTCAGCGAGCACTGCGTCGGGTTCTCATGTTTCATCTCGTAGTGTGGACTAAACATGTTTTGGCGGTGCGTGGGTCAGATCCGTCATGCATTGTCCCCCGTCACTTTATAGAGACACAGGGAGAAGACTTTTACACGTCTCATTCAAGTCACCTGAGGTCAAGAAAATGTGGCTCTATACTCCACTGCCCCATACGTCTTCATGGGGCCTAGTGTTTAATTAGTTAAGCGCGAGGAGGACTTTACTTTTTTTACCTTACATCTCATTCCACCTTCTCCAACACGAGAGATTGCCAAAAGTTCATAATGTACCATCGCAAAATCGTAATTTTTTTTTTGCAGATAATAATAACAACGGGGCACGCGGTAGCGTAGTTGGTTGAGGCACTGTGCTACAAAACGGAAGGTCGCGGGTTCGATTGACGATGTGACTGAATTTTTCAGTTGACGTAATTCTTCCAGCCGCGCTATGGCACTCTAACAGAAATGAGTACAGCAATACCTCGCATAGCCCGGGCAATCGGTTCCGCCAATATCCCGGACTGTTTGAAACCGGACTAACCGAGGAACTGGATACATACAAAAATGATAATCGGTTAAAAAATCTCCGTTTTTCAAATAAATAAAAGGCGATTAATAAATTCAAATTTCTTTATTATAAATAATTTTAAAACATTCATGTTTTCCGCAATTCCCTAAGAATTGCAATATTGATGTCTGCACATTTTTCTTCTTTGGCCTTTTCTCTTCATACATTTCTTTGTAGCAACGAAGTGCATTGTTTATCGTTCGGCGAATTGTAAGGCTACTTTCAACATTGGGATCAACTTCCATAATATGCTCTGACAAGGTTTCAACCATTCCAATAATTTGTTATAGTTGTTCAGCTTTTAATTCTCGTGCAGGCACTTCAACACAGTCGTCATTGTCTAAGTTGGCCTCTCGTTGNAACATAAAAGGGGAGAGCCAAGTGTCGAGCCCGACACCTGCCCGACATTCGTATTTTTCCAGATGCCCATAAACCTCTGTCGGTCTTCAAGTAATCCAATACCCCTCCCGGCTGGTCTCGCACGGTCAGGTCATGGGTTTATGAGATACTGGGCGTAAACAGGTGGCGTTAGGGACAATAGCGGCACCCTTAGCCTGAGGAGGACAATAGCGGAATTACACTTAGAAGGTCCGGGGATGGTACCTCGCCGATGGAGCGTCTCTCACGGTATTAAACAATGCATACATAGTTCTTACTCTTAATTATATAATTTTGACGAGGGAAGTACGGTTACAGTACATACATATACAGCGGGAACCCCAGGAAAAATTGAAATATGTATCGTATCGCATAACTTTAAAACCACATACAAATAAACCGCACAAAAGGAGACTTGACTGTATAAAGGGAATAAACCGATCACTTATGTATTAAAAATAATTTTGTGTACTAATTTTTTAGAATTCATTATTATTTTGCTCAATTAATATTTAATTTGTTTTGAAAATTACAAACCGGACTATAGTGAATCTGGACCGATCGAAGACGGACTATGCGAGGTATTGCTGTACCGGGAATCTTCCTGGGGCTTAGAGGGTCGCCTGCCGGCGTGTAAGGCTGACACCCTCACCGCCGTCTGTGAGCTGAATGTTGCTTTATGTTATTGAAGCGGAGATGTCCTACCAGGTCGCAGAGTCAACCAGAAATATTTTTCAATATACGACATCCAGTCAGGCAGAGGCAGGAGGAGAGGTAGCAGTGCGTGTCAGATATTGAGGTCTATCCAGTCAGGTAGAGGCAGGAGGAGAGGTAGCAGTGCGTGTCAGATATTGAGGTCTATCCAGTCAGGTAGAGGCAGGAGGAGAGGTAGCAGTGCGTGTCAGATATTGAGGTCTATCCAGTCAGGCAGAGGCAGGAGGAGAGGTAGCATTGCGTGTCATATATTGAGGTCTATCCACTCAGGTAGAGGCAGGAGGAGAGGTAGCAGTGCTTGTCAGATTTTGAGGTATATTCAGTCAGGCAGAGGCAGGAGGAGAGGTAGCATTGCGTGTCATATATTGAGGTCTATCCACTCAGGTAGAGGCAGGAGGAGAGGTAGCAGTGCTTGTCAGATTTTGAGGTATATTCAGTCAGGCAGAGGCAGGAGGAGAGGTAGCATTGCGTGTCATATATTGAGGTCTATCCACTCAGGTAGAGGCAGGAGGAGAGGTAGCAGTGCTTGTCAGATTTTGAGGTATATTCAGTCAGGCAGAGGCAGGAGGAGAGGTAGCATTGCGTGTCATATATTGAGGTCTATCCACTCAGGTAGAGGCAGGAGGAGAGGTAGCAGTGCTTGTCAGATTTTGAGGTATATTCAGTCAGGCAGAGGCAGGAGGAGAGGTAGCATTGCGTGTCATATATTGAGGTCTATCCACTCAGGTAGAGGCAGGAGGAGAGGTAGCAGTGCGGGTCAGATATTGAGGTCTATCCAGTCAGGTAGAGGCAGGAGCAGAGGTAGCAGTGCGTGTCAGATATTGAGGTCTATCCAGTCAGGTAGACGCAGGATGAGAGGTAGAGCGTGTCGGATTTTGAGGTATATCCAGTCAGGCAGAGGCAGGAGGAGAGGTAGCAGTGCGGGTCAGATATTGAGGTCTATCCAGTCAGGTAGAGGCTGGAGGAGAAGTAGCATTGCGTGTCAGATATTGAGGTCTAGCCAGTCAGGTAGAGGCAGGAGAAGAGGTAGCAGTGCGTGTCAGATATTGAGGTCTATCCAGTCAGGTAGAGGCAGGAGGAGAGGTAGCATTGCGTGTCAGATTTTGAGGTATATCCAGTCAGGCAGGCAGGAGGAGAGGTTGCATTGCGTGTCAGATATTGAGGTCTATCCAGTCAGGTAGAGGCAGGAGGGGAAGTAACATTGCGTGACAGATATTGAGGTCTATCCAGTCAGGTAGAGGCAGGAGGAGAGGTAGCAGTGCGTGTCAGATATTGAAGTCTATCCACTCAGGTAAAGGCAGGAGGAGAAGTAGCGTTGCGTGTCAGATATACCTCAGATGGAGCTGTTAGACTTCAGGGAAGATGAGGTTTGAGGTTCTCATGGCCGTAAGAGTGAGGAGTACATAAAATATGCTACGATGTGATGGCTTGTGTACCGCTTGACTTCACGTACTTCCTCGATCCTCAAGGATGAAACCAGCTCGTGCAAACAAGGATATACGTTACTCTCCCGTTTTCGTTGCCTGAACCGCTAACATTTCGGACCTGAAAGTAGAAGAATTACTTTTCTTCGAAACATCAGCAAACTGCCGTTGGACTAACTGTTGGGCTACGTGTCACAGCGGTTAGTGCGTTTTTATCCCACTTTTCTAACTAAATTGGAGTAGGGAATTTCTTGAGAAGCCGCCAGTTGTGCAGCTACTCAAGAACTTCCCAGGATTTGGCGGAACCCGAAGGTTCATTACCGTGTTCACAAGAGCCCTCTACTGGTCCCTCTGCTGAACCAGATCAATCTAGTCATACCGCCCCATCCTATCTGTGTAAGATCCATTTTATTATTAATCATATGCCTACATTTTGGTCTTCCTAGTAGTCTCTGTCCTTTTGGATTTCCCACCAATATCCCATATGCATTCCTATTTTCCATTCGTGCTACATGCCCTGCACACCTTATCCTCCTTGACTTGATCATTCTAATTATGCTTGGAGAAGAGTACGAGTTATGGAGCTCCTCATTATGCAGTTTTCTCCAACCTCCTGTCACTTCTTCCCTCTTCGGTCCAAATAATCTCCTCAACACCCTGTTCTCAAACACCCTTAGTCTGTTCCTCCCTTAATGTCAGAGACCAAGTTTCACACCCATACAGAACCACAGGCAAAATCATAATTTTGTAAATTCTGACTTTAATTTTTCTTATTTTGAAGAATTAAAGAGAAGCCAATGCGATCAGAGTCCTGCCTGCGTGTCTGGCTATCCCCCATACGAACCTGTGTATATCATGCCAACTGCGCCAAGCTCAGTGGCACACGTCATCAGTCTGTGTGTCTGGATGTGTATCCTCCCTATCGTTGCCAGGCAACGGCATGGTAGACACGCAACGATAGAAGAAACGTTGGACGCTTCGTCTTCTATGCGGGCCTTGTCGTATCAAAGAAAGCAAGCGGTTAGTTCTTCCCAGATCTTCTGGTTTACAGTGCTTTTCCGGGCTTCGTCAATTCCAGGTTGAGGGGAGAAGAAAAACTGGGATTTGAACTGTGTGCCGCCGCGTCACGAGTTGGGCTTTGCATGTCTATCAAGGAAGACCGACCGGTTCTTTTGAGTCAGCCGCTGGGGTTGTGAGATCCAGTGAGGATATCTGCCTGTCCAAATCGCACAGGGGCGCAGGGAATTGCGTTTCAGCAGGAGAACAATGAGGAAACTGTTCTGAAACTCCTGAGTGTTACAATTGTTTTATTTGCACACGTGTACAAGTGCATTGTTATCCAAAGCACGGGAACATAGGGCGTCATAAAACTGATTATACGGCAAGCCGAGTTGGCTTCATGTCACCGTATCGTTTGTACTTAGGCCAAAGAATTGCATATACAGTGTGTTCAGTTAAGGAGGAAACTTCGCAACACCGCTGACCCGGCCCAACATTCCTCACAGATTGCTACTGTAACTGCTGATAGCAGAATGAGTCATTAGCGCTGATAAACGCGCGCCGCAGTTGCAGTTACAGCAGCAATCTGTGAGGAATATTGGGTCCGGTCAGCGGTGTTGCGAAGTTTCCTCCTTGATTGAACACAGTGTATTATTCTGGTTTTAAAACTCTGATAAAATAATATTTGAACCTGGTTTTCAAATTAGTGATCACATGAAGTTCTGTCTTATGGTTGAAAGAGAGGTTCCACTTGAGGAAAACACACAGACATGGTATCAGACATTCACTGCCTGTCGGCTTGCCCCTCTGCACACTACAAATGTTGAAACTGAATTACCGCATCAGGTACTGATTGCTTTGCGATGTGCTTCCTTACTAGAACGGCACGTTTTGAGTTAGGTCCCTCTTAATTCCGTAATATTCACTTGCGTCACACGAAACTGAGGCTTGCTTTATAACCAGCTGAGGCATTGCTCGTTTCATTTCATATCTGACGTTATCTGCTAGTTGAAACTGTGGGCCAATGTAGAGGTATAATAAACTGGTAACATTTGTTGGTATAAGATTGAGATTAATGTCTGTTAAATCACAGTTCCTCATTAATAGAGTGTTGAGTTTCGTACACTTGAGAATTTGCCGAAACATCTTCTGCGGTATGGGGATGCTAGAAACATTGAGATGCTGGAGTTGCGGGCAGCCCTCCGCAACGCACTTCATAGCTTCCTTGCCAAATGCGCTGCAGTAGGAGACGTCGAGACACGCCAGATTTTTACAGGAACGTATATTTTTGAATCCCTTGCAGTGAAGTTGAGAATTTCCTTCGAGAGTGAGATGAGTAAGCGAAGGAGACTTCGGCAAGATCTTGTTCATAAGTGCGTTGATGTTTCCTAACGTCAAGGGCAAACCAATGTACGACAACTGAGAGAATACCTCAGGAAATAAAGTCAGAGGTATTTTCTTTACCACAGGAAATTTGCAGCATGTGAATACTAATTTTGTCAGTTTTCTTAACTTCGTGATGGGAGGTATTTGATCGAATGGGGAGTCGTTTTCCACGGAGACGAAGACGAGTTTTTCTAGATTCGTGCATTCGTTTATGGCCACGAAGAAATCTGGAAATACTCTTCCCCAATGCTCGTATGCATCGAGCTGCCGCTTTTTGCATTCCAGCAAATAACAGATTTCCTCATCCGAATAATTGTCACCTCCACATTTTAAGGCTAAGTTGTTCAAATTTGGACAACCGTCTGCAATAGGTTTCAGCAGTCCCTCCGTAACACTTCGTGTACCTGACGAGTACAAGGCTAAACTATCCAGAGTTCTGGATTGGCCAATAATATGCGTAAGCTCACATCCTTCTTTATTGAGACTAATTAAAATGCCGAGTTCCCTCAATGCAGTCAGTCGTTCCATGGTTATTTTAAGAAGGGCCGAAGGCGTTTCTATTTTGCTAACACGCAAAACAGTTATTCTTGTGCAGTATTCAGATAGCGTTCCTATGACGTTGCACGTTCCGTAGTACTCGAATATCCTCAGATTCTGCATATGCCGAAGCCTGCTAGCTATTTCTTCCTGAGAGGCGCTTCGTTTTGGGCTGAAACATAAGTTCTTCCATATCTCATTAGCCTGAGAAGCTCTCCGCCACCGAATGCAGACGTCTCTCACAGAGAGACAGAGGTCATCAATGGTCAAATATGAGAATATCTTCAGAAGTACCTCGTTTGGAATCATATCGAACCAGGCCATGGTTGAATCTGTAACAGACACCGACAGTTCTTAGAAATTATACTCGTATTTGTGGTTTCGTCGGATGAGCCACCACAAAATCATCAGAAAGCGCAAAGAATTTTCTCCTGAGCCTATGCTAGTTCCTATCCGGCCGGTTGACAAACGGATTGGCTTAAGATGCACCACCACATAGGTCACAAGACTGCAGAATGATGGGCACTTGTTGTGCAGTATCAACATAAGGAAGCTGGGATAGCGCAGTCGGTTTAACGATTGGCTACGAGCTAAATGACCGAGGGGCATAGTTCGAGTCCCGGTTGGGTCAAGAATTATCTCTTCACCTTGTCCAGACCGGCTTTGGGTCCACCCAGCCTTCTATTCAGTGGGTACTGAGGGCTCTTTCCCCGGGGGTAAAGTTGCCGGGACGTGAAGCCGACCACTCACCTCCAGTTAGTGCGGAGATCAAGAAAATGTGGTTGTATACATCCACTCCCCGATACATCGTCATGACAGTGCTTAAATAGTTAAGCACAGGGACAAATTTAAGTTGATGGTGTGACTGATATAGGCACACGTGTGTTCGGGTATAATGTTCCGTTGCGACCTCAGGATGTTTACTGTACCCTGCTGCGATATACTGTAATGCATTCTTATTCAAAATGGCCGTTGCAAAGTGAATACATGCTAATACTTCTATAGATCCGTTGCACATTTGTGTAGAAAGCACGTGCAGTGTCCAGCATTAGAACAGTACATCGATTGAAACAATTTTAGAATTACTTGAGGCTCAAACAAGGCACGAGCCTCAAAAATACACAGATAGATAAATAATTCTATGTGAAAACTTTAGGATCACCGTAGGGAGATAATTTGTGTAAGTAAATTGTAAAGCGACTCATCTCTTTTTTAATTTGGGGCTGAAAATGTAAATACATTGTGAATCAACCCACATTTTTTGTCTTATTGTCACGTTGTGCTGCTGTTTAAGAAAATTAAATCGTTGTTAGTTCAGTTGTTTATGCCTAACATTTTGATGTATTGATTTCACAGCGTTTCGGAGACTGGGTCTGTTTCAGTCCCCAGGTGAGTGGGTGGGAGGCACCTACTGGGTCCGTCAGAAAGAGCTAACCCAACTCACGGGAGCTCTTTCTAACTGACCCAGCAGAGCAGATGTCTCCTACCCAGTTCCCGGAACGCTCTTTGGAATGCCGGACAGTGGACAGAGTAGAAACGTCGCCTCGCACGCTCGCCTCACGCTGGCTTCTCGCTTGTCGTATTCTTCGACCTGTTCCTGAGAAACTTCATTTGATATTAAACTCGTCAACATTAACAGGTGACCGCTGCGAAAAGCCCGAAGAGCGGTTTGTTACAAGTCGTGTTCGAGCGAGGAAACGTGTATGGCTGGGGGGGGGTTGCGTTTCATGTGATGAGCAAGTACTGTTCAGGGAACACCAATTCAAATATTACAATGTGTGGTTACACTGTGTTCTGTGTGTTTGTGAGTGAACTGAGATTCGCGTCAGCGGCTACGTCTGTTTTGTCCCCAGTGTGTGTGTATGGCTGAGCAGCCCGAAGGCGTTCAGAAAGCACGACTCAGGGCCGCCAGGAACTGTGCGGTTCAGTGGCGTAATATTTTTGCAATCATTTCTTTTTTGCGGGTATTTCAATTCTGAAAATAAAGAATGGCAGATTATTTCGTATGGGTAGATTTCTGACACACGGTATGTTGTCTTGGAGGAGGGGTTAGGTATTTGCAGTGTCGTGATGTACTTAAGCATATCACGCGTTATTTTAACTTACGCAGTTTCTAAATAGTTTTATGTCTTTATAAAGGAGGCACGCGGTAGCGTAGTTGGTTGAGGCACTATGCCACAAGCTTGAAGGTCGCGAGTTCCAAGTCCCGATGAGGTCACTGGATTTTTTCAATTGACCTAATCCTTCCGGCCGCACTATGACCCTGGGGTCGACTCAGCCTCTAACATAAATGAGTACCAGGCATATACTTGGGGGTAAAGGGCGGCCGGTGCGTAGGGCTGACAACCTTGCCGCCATCTGTGGGCCGATTGTCTAGAAAATGTGGGAACCTCAACATCTCACGACCCTATGGGCCTCCACGGCCTGTTACAGGGATACCTTTACTTTTACTCGTATGTTTCTTTACTGAATAACTGTTTACTATATAAACAAATAGAAATAAGTACTAAGTGGTACAGTTTATAAAACCAGTAATAGTGAAAGATATTAGAGTGTTAGTTTGCTGCTCTACCGAAATTTCAAATAATTTCTTATATTCAAATCTATCAGCATGATCTGACCGGACCGGACCGGACTGGACTGGACTCTGTCAGTACCATTTGACTCACCTGCAGGCGGCCGCAGCAGCTGAAGGGTAGGCAGGGACTGAACTGCCCCCGCGATGTGCCCACAGCAACAGAACCAGAGTCAGGGCGCACCCTCGCGGTGGCACTCGACGTCGAATCGATGTAGTCACGTCGATATGCAGTGTATCGACTTCTTTAGATTCCAAATGGAAGATGGAGATTAAGATACATACATTTGGAGAGGGACGATAAAATGTAACCAGCAGTTTCTATCGGAGCAGAAAAACCACGTAGTTTAACCGTGCTGTTAGAATGAGGTTGCCCTCACCCTCCATGGTAGTGCTCTGAAATTTCGCAAACTTTATCCAACTTCAGTGCATCTCCTTCATACATTCCACAATTTTTGCTCTGAAGTACGTTCGGTACTGCATCCACGCATATCACAATTTCGTGCAAACACCAACAGTAACATGAATAAATACCATGGTCCATCAAGTGCGACTTGTTTAATATGAAATAAAGCCTTCTACATGTTTCGGCCGCTACTGGCCGTCAGGAGGCGCATCCAACAGTACAAAGAAATACTTTACGTATGTGTTTGAACATGACTTGTCATGAAGAGATTGCTGTCATTAGAAATAGAGACTAAAATATTAATGTAGACAAAAGGTTCGTTATGTTAAAAGTAATTGGTTAAAATGGTTTAAAATAAATTAAAGATTTTGTTAAATATAGTAACATATTGTGGCGTATAGACCCGTTGCTAAGCGGCGACTCTGTAAACAACGGCCGTTTCTGAGCAACGACTAATTAAACACTGTCCCGCCGTAACGAATACGCACGCAAGAATAGATTCACTGTTGGAAATGTTGTGTTTCTGCGTGGTCCGTGCCGTATGATATAAGCGAGGTACAAAGTTAGTTGTTAGGCAGTTCTTTATGGGAGGTTGTGAAGATATAACCACAACACGTGAAGCTGAAGGATCACCACTGTTAGATACAGTTGCCAGGCAACGGCTGGTGAAGTCACAGCAGGCTGGAATAGGCTTAGTGGGTGCTGTGGTGATTTGTGAATTGTGGAGATTAGCGGTGGCGCTGCAATTACCTGCACTTACGAGTCGTGTGTATAAGCGGTCAGTAAATCAGTCACCAATCCAAACCCCGTCTACAGTCATATTACGTGACAATATTGACAGCTCCCGTTTTCTGCTATTCATTACATCGACTGTTTTTTGTGTCACATGTTCGTGTGTGTAGTGCGGTGAAGTACGGGGCGGTGCGCCGATCGTTCTCTGGTGGGCGTGCGAGTAACTAGCAGCAATGTGTCTGTGATGTTTAGGTCCCGAAGAGGTGTGTGCTGTGGAAGCTTTGAAGAATGTGGAAGTTTTGTGATGATTCATTCTTGAATTATGCAGAACAGCGCCACTGTGTCTGTCTTTGCGAATATTTCGTTGTTTCAATTTGACAGCGAAAACTGATGGAACACGGGAGACAAAGTTATGAGGGTACATTTCACACTGTGCTGCAAATTGTGTTTGGGAGATGTCAGGTACAGATATAAGGTTATAGGTCAATGCGAAACCCAGAATACGAAATTATGCGGGTCAGGGTAGTGAAAGAAAGAGAGGAACGTGGGTATGTAGGATAAAACAAGATGTTCTGGGAAGAACTAATCGCCTACTTTACTTTAATACGACGCGGACCGCAAAAGAAAAAAAAAGACGCGTCCAATAATTATTCTATTGTTGCATTTGTATTCGTTGCAGAGGTAACGTTTTTACCAAGCCGTTGCTTAGCCATGTGAGGATACACGGACACAGAGTGACGAGAGGCTTAGGTGCCATCATATACATACCAACTGTAATAAAGCTGAGTTGAGCCATTCACAAGTACATATGGCGGGGGGATACACAGACAGCATGGTGATCGCATAAACCTACTTTTATTTTCTTCAAAATAATGCAAGTAGCATTTTAAACACTTACTTCCGTCTATAATGCAACTTTATTTACAATTACTCCCTAACTTAGAAAAACTTTTAAATTACAACTCAGTGCTACATGTCTCAACCTTACTTGGCGATCCTCTTGCAACTGTTCACTTGTTGAACTTGCTGCACTGCATCAGTGCCTAAGTTAAAATATTCCAGTGTTTGAAATACGTTTGCTTTATCTGTTCTTGCGCTGTTTTCCTCTTGCGGCGTCCGTGTTTTTGTGTTGTTTTGTTCAGCCCTGGGGCACGCGGTAGCGTAGTTGGCTGAGGCACTACGCCACAAGTCGGAAGGTTGCGAGTTCGATCCCCGATCAGGCAAACCGATTTTTCAATCGACCTTATCCTTCCAGCCGCACTATGATCCCTGTGGTCGACTCAGCCTCTAACGGAAATGAATACCTGGAATCTTCCTGGGGGTTAAAGGACGGCCGGCGCGTAAGGCTGACACTGTCACCGCCATCTGTGAGCCGATTGTCTAAAAAATGTGATAGGTTGGACTTTTCACAAATCTATGGGCCTCTACGTCCTGTTACAGGGATAGCTTTAGCTTACTTTTACCTTTGTATTATCGGCGTGGTGTTATCATTATGTTTATGTGCCCCATTAGTGTGTATGTCACTGTGTTATTACGGGCACAGAAGGACTGGGATAAGCTGTAAGTGAACAAGAATATCTGGCCTAATTTTAGTAACGAAACCGTAACTGTTTCCAGTTTGCCTCATATCCGACTAATGTCTGGCAGTCATTACGTGGATAGATTTTGATGTCACCAGACACTTTACAGGGGTCATACAGATTCTTTGAAGAAATTTCAAGGCCGAAATGTAGAAAACGAGAGGCATTTGTTTAATATCAGAGCGTCTGATACGACATTCAGCGGTTGAAATAGCATCATAGAATAATCGACGTGCTGACAGAATGTCAGCAAACCCTAGGAACAGCGTGGTGACAATAGCGACATCTGACGTAGCTCTCCGGAAATATCTCGCGGTACGTGATTACGCGACTGATTGAAAGCATAAACTTTACCCGAAGTTCGCAACATTCTGGCTTCGTCATTCCTTTTGCATGACTGTTCCCTTTCTTTTGTTTGATTTCTAACGACACTGTTTAGCTTAGATGATAGGATTAAGAAATATGGAGCAGTTTGTGGAATGAGAATTTGCAGGGGAAATTGGAGTACTCGGAGGAAACATGCCCCGATGCCATTTTGTCCGCCACAGATCCCACGTGACTTGCCCTTGGATATAACTTGGGGTACGGAGGCGGGAAACCCGCGACTAACATCGCATTCGTGAGGTTTAGGTTCGGGCCACGCGGTCGCGTACTTGGTTGAGGCACTGTGCTACAAGCCGGTAGGTCCCGTGTTTGGAGTCCGTTACCAGGAAACGACTAATGGAGACCGTAATACAGTGAGGACACTAGTCTGTGTGTGTCCTAGATCTGTAAAGTGTAGTCACGAACCGTGAATGTATAAGTGGTCAATAAATCGAGTCACCAATCCAAACCCCGTCTATAGTCACACACGTACACTTGATATCTGGAAACATTTTAAAGGCTAGCCGTTTAATTTTTCACACTTTTAGAATTGAAAAATATTTCTAAATACAGGGACGAAACATCGTGAAATGGATCATAAAAGACGCGTCCAAGTAAGATCAACATATTTATTACTCAATCCAAGGAAATGTGTACATAATTCTGGTTCTGAAACATAGGAACTAAAACTTTACGCCGCTTTATATCTAAGTCCCAGGACATAGGATCCGATTTATTATACGAATAGAGGTCCAACTGGTGAGGCGTAATAATGACACTTATTTTGTTATGACAATCTGAGTCTGTCTGTAAACTACTACGTGTAATAAGGCGGAGATTTCATTTAAGAACCACATACATATTTATCAAGTGTCGTAACACAAATCATTCACTCAGAACACGTAGGAATCGATTGGACCTCAGCTCGACTGTATTTACTGGCGTCACGTGATGTTGAAGCATCTTGTATAACGAAGTATGGGATAGCTTGCTGCATTTTTTTCCTATGACGTCCGTTTAGAACTCGAAGCGTGAGCCAGTGTGCAGATTCAATAGGTCGGCAGTATTTCTTGAGATAAGATTGACATTAATCTCACTTAAGTCACATTCCTTCATCATTAGCGTCTTGAGGTTCCTACATCTCAGAATTTGCCGAAACATGGCTTCCGAAATGGGAATGCCGGACACGTCCAGGTGTCGCAACTGCGGACAGCCTTCAGCAACGTACTTCATAGCCCTCTTGTCCAGCTGTGTGCAGCACGTAACATCCAGGTACTCCAGCATCTTACAAGAACCTATATTCCTCAGCGCTCTGCAACGAAGTTCGTAGTTTCCTTCAAGATTGAGGTATTTAAGTGAGGGACACTTGAGTAAGATTTTGTTCGTAAGGTCATCTATATTACCTTCCGCGTAAGGAATGCCAATGTACGATAGATGAGGGAAAGTTCCGAGGAATAAGGTTAGAGGTACTTTCTTTACCATGGGGAATCTGCAACACGATATTTCTAACGCTTCCAAGTTTTGTAACTGTGTAATTGGAGGTATTTCCTGAAGCGGACCATCAATATCAATGTCGATTAAGGTGAGCTTTCTTAGATTCGTGCACTCATTGATAGCCGTGAAGAAGTCTGCAGACACGAGTCCACGGTGGTCATACGTCACGAGCTGATGCTTCTTGCATTTTAGCAGGTAACAGATTTCACTGCTCGGACAATTGAAGTCTTCACATTTCAGTTTCTTTAAATTCGGACAACCGTCTGCTATGGGTTTCAACAGCCCTTCCGTTAAAGTTTCTCCGTCGGACGAGCCCAGATATAACCTAACCAGAGTTTTGGATTGGCCAATAATGCGAGTGAGTTGAGGGCCGTCCTCCGTGGGACTAATCAGAATACCAAGGACGCTCAAGTCAGGTAGACGTTCCATAGTTAATTTCAAAAGGGCTGGATTTAACTGTATATGGGGAATTTTTAAAACTCTGATCTTTCTGCAGTGTTCGGACAGATCTTCTATGACGTTGCAAATTCCAGTGTATCGAAATGTTCTCAATGCCGGCATATTCTGCAACCTGCGAATAATTTCTTCTTGTGGGATGCTTCCATGTGGGCTGTAACGCAAGTACGCCCATATCTCATCGTCGTCTGAAACCTTACTCCACCGAGTGCAGACATTTCTGACAGACAGGACCACGTCATCAATGCCCAAGTATGAGAATATCTTGAGAAGTAACTCGTCTGGAAGCAGGTCGAAGCTGGCCATAGTTCGGTCTGTAACACAAAACAAGGCTGCGAGAACTTGATTTCTTTAAGCAAGATGGCCACATGTGGTCGATGTAACATTGATTGTAATTACATTACATTGTCCCTTAGTGTAATGTTGTAGCTTTTGAAAATTGTACCTTCTCCATTCATGGGCAAGTAGCTGGTTGACACACAGTATGCCACAAATCCGAAGGTCACGGGTACGATTGCCGATGAGGTCATTAGATTTTTTCAGTTGATCTAATCCTTCCAGTCGCATTGTGGCCCTGGGTTCAACTCAGCCTCTAACAGAAATCAGTAACAGGAATCTTTTTTTGGGAGGGGGGTGAATGGCGGCCGGCACGTAAAGCTGATAACCTCACCGCCCTCTGTGAGCCAGTTGTCTAGAAAATGTGGGAGCCTCGACGTCTCACAGACCTGTGGGCCTCCACACCCTGTTACAAGGGTAGCTTACATCTATATACGATATAGATATGCAAACTTATGAATGGAAAAAAGAGTAAAAGACTTGTGCAGAATTATGAACGAAATCCAAATTTATCGAATGTAATTTTCTTATATTACTGTTCTGTTGCGTCTGTCTTTTCCCCAGTTTTCACCCCTAAATATAATCGCAAACGTAATGTTAAACTAAACGGAATTCCGAAATATATGTGTCGCATCTTTCGACAACATCCATGAGGTATTGTTCGTAAACTCGGAAATTGAAAGCAACGCTTTAGGCAGAAGAAATTTGGAGAAATCGAGTGCCTGCCTGTCATACCAGTTTACTGTTATGTGGCATCCCTACTGCCTGAGGCTCCAGACATGCATATACATCTTCTTCCCTAGGGGAGTTAACACAGACACAGCCTGCCGAAACTGATTCTTAGGAAAGGGCAATTCAATTGTATTTCCACGCAAAATATTGAATCCTTTCACGCGATTGCAACATTGACGAAATGTATAACCCACACAAACTGAAAAGTAAATGTGATCGCTCATTTCGGGGTAGAATAAAAAGTAGCTCGTAAAAATTCACAGGAATTGATAAACGATTTTTTAGTTTGTTTTCTAGCATAAATTTTAAGTAAATACTGTTTCTAATCAGGAGCCGGGTTAGCGTAGTCGGTATAGCGACTGGCTATGGGCTGGACGACCGAGGGGTCGGAATTTGAGTCCCGGTAGAATCAAGAATTTTCACTTCTCCAATCATCCAGACTGGCTCTGGGGTTCACCCAGGCTTCTCTCAAATGGGTACCGGGGCGTGAAACTGACCACTCACCTCCAGCTAGTGCCGAGGTCAAGAAAATGTGGATCTATACATCCACTCCTCCATACGCCTTCATGGCGTAGTGCTTAATTAGTTAAGCACAGGGACAACTTTACCTGTTTACCTTACTATTTCTAATCAGGTGTCCTCCCTCGAATGTAACACAATATGTCTCCCTTGGATATCCTGCTGTTGTACGAATCCCGTGCGTATCTCTATAGGTAAAATGCAGTTTCCTTGATGTTGAAGATGCTGATCGCCTACGTAGAGTAATCACTGTGCGCTAACAGTTGCGTACGTTTGAAAACATGTCTGTTCACTTTCAGATTGTAAAGAGATATGGAATTTATAAGAGAGTCTACATGTAAGCATAACAGTTATATTACTGCGTAATTAGTGGAGGTTCCGTCCGCAGAATATTCCTTGCGGAATTGTGTTCTCAGTCATATCGATCGTGTAATGTTTCGTAACCTGTGTATGCCCAAATTCTTTACATGTTAGTAATGCCTCGAGCAACATGTAACTGCATGTTACAGCAAGTAAACTAAGTTCCACAGTTGTGCATTGAGATAGAAAGAAGACAGCCACGGAAAATGGGATAACTTTTGTTCTTTCATATTAATTTAAAAATGAATGGGTGAAGAACGCGGCTGTTAACAGCCCTGACCTTTCTGTGACAAGTGTCGCCAAGAACATAACAAGTGAAGGTTTTCTCGTAGATTTACACGCCTCGATGGAAGGAATCCGCAGTGAAGGATACTAAAATAAACTCAGATGGACTGGATTGCATTGCCTCAGTTGGGAAGGGATAACAAAATTGTATTCGATCACTTTTCTCAGTATGTTACGTTGATGACGAGGTTTATTCTTTTTATGGTTACTTATGTTTGCGTGACTTACAAACGAATCTGTCACTTTATATATATTTCTTAAGCGGATATAAGAAGTACGTTTATTGTAATAACACAGCGAAATATGGTGTGTACGCTCTTACACCTTTAAATAATTAATACTGGAAACTATAAGACTCTTAGTTGTGCCACATTGATTTCAGCATCAAATGAGTGAAACCAGTAACTTGTTATGCAGTGATGTACCCGTATCAGCAGCACCGGTCTGTATCAGTACCAGTTCACTCACCTGGAGGCGGCCGCAGCAGCTGAAGGGTAGGCAGGGACGGCAGGGACTGAACTGCTCCTGCGATGTGCGCACAGCAACAGAACCAGAGTCAGGGCGCACCCTCGCGGTGGCAGTCGACGTCGAATGAATGCAGCCATGTCGATATACTGTTTATTGACTTTTCAAGGATTCACTACCTTAACACAAATGTTGGATATGAATATATAATTTGATCTTGTCCCACGTATCCTTAGGTTAGTAGCGAGCGGCAAAGTCAGCTTATCCTTGCAGTTTTCTTACGCTCGAATCGGGAAGTAATAACGCCGCTCGCGCTTCCAGTGAAGTATATTAATTTACCAATAATATGCCTGTTATTTGTTTAGAAATTACCTGGTTAACATCTGTCCCCTGCAAGTGGCTCTTGGGGCTACAGTTTACTTCCCAATACTTACCTCATTACTCTTCCGTACTTGCCGACCTTCAGTGAATTGTGCGACTCATGGATTATCATGAAATAATTTGGCTACTCGAAAGGAAATTCGGGACCTGAACCTTGTGCTTTTTTATGTCCTTTAAACGTTCATGAAATGATGGTGGATACACCATCACGTGACCTGGGAGCGATATTTACTCTAGGTCCTGAATTAATGTATGTTTCAAGAGTGCTGAAGACTTGTAATTGTATTCTTCTGTATTGCAACCCTTCAGTAATTTAATTAACCTTAATTTTCGCCGATAAAACGAATGGGCCCCTGGAGGAAGGGGTGTGTAATTTCGAATTAAGATTTTTATAATAATTTTACATAGACATTACAAGGATGAAGTTCTATGTCCAACCAAAGATTTGACGTATAGGATATCTGTATTTATTAACTTACGTTATTCATTTATATGCATAGCTAAGTTTATTGAACTGTAACGAATGTAAACAGATAAATTCGCTGTAGCGTCTCCCTTGTCTTGTATGAAGTGCGGGTTTGTTCAGTCCTCTTGGGGGCACGCAGTAGCGTAATTGGTTGAGGCACTATGCTACAAGCCAGTAGGTCGTGGGTTCAATTTCCGACGAGGGTGTTAGCTTTTTCATTTTATCTAATCTTTCGAGTCTCAGTATGACCCTGGGGTCGACTCAAAATTTAACTGAAATGAGTACCAGGAATCGATTGGACCTCAGCTCGACTGTATTTACTGGCGTCACGTGATGTTGAAGCATCTTGTATAACGAAGTATGGGATAGCTTGCTGCATTTTTTTCCTATGACGTCCGTTTAGAACTCGAAGCGTGAGCCAGTGTGCAGATTCAATAGGTCGGCAGTATTTCTTGAGATAAGATTGACATTAATCTCACTTAAGTCACATTCCTTCATCATTAGCGTCTTGAGGTTCCTACATCTCAGAATTCCTGCGACGTTAAAAGCAGCGTGTTCATGCTTATGTTGAAAGTAAAAGGAAGTAGGGCTTGAATCCAAATGACTGTCGTACTGTTAATGAGTGCATTGGGTCGTCTATTTCTATATGCAATTAAAAGCAGACAGCGGCAGAAGATGGAATGTGTGGTTGTTGTTATAATACGCACTGCATGTCAGTCCTTCTCCCGTGATATTGTCTTCTTGTCCTTATGGCGGTTTTGATATTTTGAATTATTATTATTATTATTATTATTGGAGGGGGTGGGTTTCCCCATGCACTACGACCAGTTGTTGTGCGTCCCTCTTTAATTTCTACTGTCGCCATGCCCTTCCAGTTCTGGTGCTCGCTATCTGCCCCGTTCTTCCAGCGAGGTCGTTCCTCTCTGGCGGTGGTACCCGATACTTCTCCATCTACCGGAGGAATTGAAACAACTTTGCCTAATTTTGCTCAGAGGTCTCTTAGAGACATGAGGATCTTTTACGTGCCGTAAATCTACGACACGGGACCCACGCCTTAAAGTCCCTCCCGGAGGACTTGTTCCCTGAATTTTTCCGCCCTTAAAAATTCCACGACCTCCGCCGGGTTTGAACCCGCGTAACTTGGGAATGTTACCCCTAGACTACGGAGGCCGCTTGATATTTTGAATAGCAAATCATAAGCACATAACTTCTAAAGGATTCAGTTGTTTATATTTTTACATTATTTTAACTGCTAATGTCGGAATAACAGTGCGACATAGGCCTTATGCGAAATTCTTGACTTCTCTGTATGTAATACTAGAATTTGAATGGATGTTAATTTTATGCTATATTGATTTGAACACCACATGAGGCATTGAATAGAATAACTTTTTATGCAATAGGGCAGTGTTTCCCAACCTGTGGTCCGCGGACCCCTGGGGGTCCGCGGGATAGTTTATTTTCATTAAACTTTATCTTATCATGTTCCTCACACCTGGGATATTTGCAATGTATATCTCTGGCTCTTGAGGATAGGTCTGTTTACCCTGAAATTTCCAAAAGGGCTGTAAGACATCTGTTGCCATTTCCCACTACATATCTGTGCGAGACAATATTTTCTCATCTTGTACACATGAAAAACAGATATAGGAACAGACTTAACGTGGAGCTAGATCTACGTCTGAAATTATCCAGTTTTGATCCTGACATTCGAAAGTTGACGTCTGAAAAACAGCACCAGCCATCACATTAGGTGAGTGTTAAATTCATAATATTACGCCTATAGATATGTTCGTAATCTTCCGAATATCTCCATTTATAACAGTAATTTATTGTCATAAATGACACATTTAGTGTTGTAAAATTTTAAGTTACAGCTTCATTTTTATGATATGTACTCGTAAAATTTAAAAAATTCCATTTTGGGTTTTATGGGGGCCGCGGTGAATTAACATTCGGTACAGGGGGTCCGCGGCATCAAAAAGGTTGGGAAACACTGCAATAGTGTATCAGTAGGATGGGGTTTTCCATACGATTTGACACCTGGAGGCAGCCGCAGCAGCTGAAGGGACCGCAAGGACTGAACTGCCTCCGCGATGTGCCCCCAACAACAGAACCTGAGGGCGTACCCTCGCCGTGGCACTCTGAATCAGTGTAGCCACGTGGATATACTGTCTGTCGATATTTATAAGGTTCCATCGCCTTAAAGAGAAAGCTCGACGTCTCAATGTAATTCGAGCCATTATTAGCTTGATAATGAGAGATCCAATCGGATTGAACCACCGGTTTTGGATGGAGCGGCAAAGTCAGTTCATATTTATTTTTAGAAAACTTAATTCTTAAATTAAAGTTACTGTCCTGTCCATGTGGAGCGCCCTCTCTGACGAGAGGTCGGGTCTGTCATTTGTCAATCATAGTCGATAGTATTAGTCCATTGTCTCTATGTACACTTAATTACAATTGATTCAGATTAGGGTTGTCACTTGGAAGTGATATGCCTATTCGTGCTTCCAGTGAAGTTCATTAACTCAGCGGTAATGTGTCTCATATTTATTGAGACGGTTTCTGTTTAATGCTTCTGCCTTGTGGAGGCACAGTGCACTGAGTTATGTTGCGCCCCGCGCGACGTATATACACGTATCTTCATATTGACAGGAAGTTGGAGAAAACTGCACATTGAGGAGCTTCATAACTTGTACTCTTCTCCAAGTATAATTAGAATGATCAAGTCAAGGAGGATGAGGTGGGCAGGGCATGTAGCACGAATGGGGAGAAAAGTAATGCATATGGGATATTGGTGGGAAAGCAAGAAGGAAAGAGACTTCTGGGAAGACCAAGGAGTAGGTTGGTGGACAATGGATCTTAGAGAGATAGAATGGGATGGTGTGCATTGGATTGATCTGGCTCAGGATAGGGACCAGTGGAGGGCTCTTGTGAACACGGTAATGAACCTTCGGGTTCCATAAAATGCTGGGAAATTCTTGAGTAGCTGCAGATTCGGCTTCTCCTCAAGAAGGGCTCAGCCCCGTATGTAAGTATATATCATCATATATTAATTTGCGACTATCAAAGAATTTCGGAATCTCAGCTTCGTGCTTTTCCATTTCCTGCAAACAGCAATTCGAACATTTTGGACGTACTGTCCTATGACGTGGGAGCGATATGTGGCCTACATTCTGAATGGATATATGTTCTGTTTGAACAATTGTTGTGTCCCGAAGGATAGTGATGGGATATTCCTGTAGATTGAGCGGAAGTCTGTGGTTTGGGATTGTTGCAACACTTAAGAATTGAAATCCAATTCTTCAGGAGTCGGTTGTGAGGTTAAATAGAACAGTAGTAAATATTGAGTGCTTGATTGGTGAACACATAGAAAGACGCGACTGCACTGTGCACCAATGCTGTAGCCTCGAAGCAGGTGCTGATGTACTGAAGGTCACGGCTAACACACAAACTGCGAACATGGAGCGAGTGAAGATACAGGGAGTCCGATCAGAGTGAAGAAGTCAGAAGTCGAGCCTGATGTCCGCCGTGGCTAGCACAGGGACTCGAACCCCGAACTTGGTAGTCGGACACCCAGAGACACGCTTAATGATGGCGAAACTAGGATCGACATATGATTCGTCGTTCTTAAAAGGGAATATGACCTTTCAGCTGTAGGGAGTACTGCATGGTCATAAGAATTCTAAACAAGATTCTCAATTAGGAGGATTTTTTTATATCACGGAGGGGGTGGGCACCTGCAGGAATTGCCCATATGTACTTACCTCCGCAAAACGTAGAACCTATTATTTTGTATTCACACAGAATTTCGGGGTCTAAGACTACCCCATACAGGAAACGGACAACTTAGGGTCGCTCGTGGTGCATGGTACACGCTCACATCTTGTGAAAATTACGCGGGGGTTGAATACATATTAGCGGATGTTGTGCCTCTGTATATCGACCCTCCAAAAATTTAGTTATCAATCATTTGCAGCGATATAAGAGATGTACCGCTGGAGGGTGTAGTTTGAAATTGAGGTTTCTTAATACCAAATAGTCACAGGTTGTTTTCCTTAGCCGTCCATTACAAGGACAAAGGTATATGTGGAACCCATGATTTAACATACATGGTGGAAAGATGGGCGTAAATCTTGACGATCGCAAAGCGTCGCGGAGCGTGTGACTGCAGAACTGCAAGGTGAAATCCGTCTTCAGCTTACACGCTTCTGTCAAAAATTTGCAGTTATTTGCTGTCAATAAAACATCATGTAATAACTGCCCACTGTGCATGGGTATCCTTCCATTGGCGCTACAGCCCCAGTTCGGGCCTTGGCCTGCCTCGATGAAACTCTCCATTTCACTTCGGTTTACTAGATCTTAGACATTCGGTAGGACTCCTTGGGCGGGTGATCAGCTTGTCACAAGGCCTCTACTTTTACACAAACGCTAAACATCCATGCCCTGAGTGGGATTCGAACAGACGATCCAGGCTTCCGTGAGAGCGAAGACATTGCATGCTTTAGACCGCTGGGCTACCGTGCCCGGCCGCATGAGCGACAGTAGGTAATTATGTATAAATACCAAAAACAGTTGTAAATGTGGTGTATCTCATTGCAGTGAGAATTTGTAGCAGTTATTATGAAAAATTAACGACTTATAGCCATTAACTCCCCACTAGTAAATGTAATAAATAACATCGTGTTGTGTATTTTTCTCTTTTCGTGACCAATTAGTCACGGAGCACACACTTGCAGTACATACATTGATATGTGTGTGTTTTAAAATAGTTGATTGCAAGCCGAGCTGATATAAGGTAACGGTTTGAAGCTGTCCAGAACCCCTCAGTACCTCAATTCTAGATGCGAGCCTTCCATCTCGCACGGTATAGACGGGGGGGGGGCTCAATAGGATAGCAGATGAAAAGCTTTTATTAAGGTAATTGAAATGCATATACTTAATTATTTATTTGTTACACATGTAAACTGCAAATTTATCCTAGGTAGAACAGTGAAGTATCAATATAAGGCTCTAAAATTTGACTCTTTGCTTGCAAGTACAGTCCCTATAGACATTTAGATTTATTCAAGACAGGCAGGAGCAAGTTGTGCTCCCCTAATCACAATAACATGGTGTTGGACATCCACTGAAGTCACAGAGTTCGTGTGTGCAGTTACGACTTCATGCACGCAAGCTCTACAGAGCTATTTCATGAGGTCTGATGGATCATCCTTATACCCAGTATGTAGATTAACGTATTCATATTTCTGTGTGTAATAATCTTGTATGTCACTTGCAAATTGAGGCGCCCATATATTCAGATGTGGCATATGCTGCTTGATGTCACGTGTGCAGTCGTGCCCGAATTTGTATTTGGGGCCAATGAGAAGTTCTTTTAAACCGGGTATATTTGTAGAGATAAGATCGAGGTCAATGACACTGACGTCAGTGAAGGTCATCATGAGAAGCGTGAGCGTCCTGCATCTCAGGATTTGCCGAAACAGCTCATCTGACATGGGAATGCCGGACACGTCGAGGTGTTGCAACTGCGGACAGCCTTCAGCAACGTACTGTATAGCCTTCTTGTCCACATTCTGGCAGTGCGATACACTGAGGCGTGTTAATAGTTTGCAGGAACTTATGTTCCTCAGTGCTTCGCAAGTAAGTTCATGATTTTTTTCCAAATCGAGACGCTTAAGTAAAGGACACTTAAGCAGGATCTTGCTGATCAGGAAATCGACGTTTCCAAATATCTCGCATATGCGAATGTATATCAAATGGGATAACGTGTTACGAAATAATGTTAAAGGTATTAAGTGAAGCATGGGGTAATTGCACTTCAGCACCTCCAATATTCTCAACTTTGGTAACCGAGTAATGTGTGGTATTTCGGGAAATGGTTCCTTAAAACTGGTCCTGGTGAAAACGACTCTCTTCACGTTCGGGCACTGGTTCAGAGCCTGGATTGTGCTTGCTGACACTACACCAGTGGGGAGGTAAGTTATAAGTTGGCAACTTTTGCGATGCATCAAGTAACAGAGTTCACTGTCACGGCAGTTGAAATTTGCACATTTCAGATACTTCAAATTCGGACAGCCCTCTGCAATAGGCATCAACAGTCCATCCATAATTCCTTCCTGTCCAAATGATCGTAACTCTAAACTCTGGAAATTGCCCGATTTTCCGATAATGCGTGTTATTTGAAGTCCTTCTGGTGTGGGGTTCACTGAGATTATAAGGTGGCTTAACATAGGTAATCGGTCCATCACTAATTGAAGAACGTCTGCAGTTATATGTATATTGGGTACGCATAAAAGTGCGATTCTTCTGCAGTGTTCGGACACACTCTTGAGGACATTGTAACGACCAAAGTACATAAGTACATCCAATGCAGGCATGGCCTTCAGCTTGAGTACAATAGAGTTTTCTGTCATTCCTGCATATGCCCATAAGCTACAGTATTTCCATATCTTATACTTTTCAGAAACTTTTCTCCAACGGGTGCAGACCTTTCTTATTGTATGAGCCATGTCTCCGTTAGGGAAGTATAAGAATATCTTCACAAGTATCTTGTCTGGAAGATCATCGATCCCAGTCATAGTTGGATCTGTAACAGAAATTAGGAATAGTAGAATTTGAGGTTCTCTCAGCAGTAGTATATGGGTAATTTTATTTTCTGGGATAGAATGCCGCGTAGTGCGTTTCGGATGTATATATTGCTTACATATTCAGGGTTTAAGAATGAGCCGAGCAAGATAGCAGCGTGAAAGCAGGAGGCAAGCACTGTGTTGTATCCCAGAAGAGAGTTCTCCTGCTTGCATGAGGTTCCTCATTAATAAGTGCCATGTTTTACGGAATTTTTCCTGGACATCACAGTAAGTAACAAAACTGTTATGTTTATTAACCGAGAGAGTTCTGCGAGAAGTTATAAGCAGTAGCTCCCTCTCTCACTTTCTATAGGACTGACGTTTTGAGAGCAGTTTGCTTGTGTCGCGTTATGATGCATTACATTGCATGAGAGACCCAACTTCTGGTGCGCAGTGTACCCCGACTCCGGGACTGGAGAAGAGAACCACGTCGAAAAGAGATAGGAACTGATCGGAAATGTTCGAAGGGTCGTGAGTTTGTTTCTCACGCAGAGGTGAGGTCTGTGTCCATGAGCCTGGAGGCCCTTGGATCACATCATGTAAGAAACTAGAAAAAATATAACTAATAGCCATTATACTTGTGACGCTCTCATACAGATCGTGTTAGTGCTAGGAAATATTGAATTTCCTGTGAATGTGCATATCAAATGTGAACTGTATCATTTTTAAGAGTTCGCATGGTGTGCACATTAATCTGATATTGTAATGTGATTGGCCACAGCAACGATCTGTAAACAACGTTCAAATGAGTGCGTTACAACAATAAGGCGCATGTTTATAGCTAGTTGCTAGGCGACAGTCAGCGCATCAATTGACTGAAAAGATATATCACGTGACGTGTTTTCTCTGCGGTCCGTGCTGCGGCTATACGAGTATAACGAGGTGTGAGGCGTAAGTGCAGAGCGAACTGTAAACTAGCTGTGACTCACAGAGTCCTGAGTTCGCCGTAGAAGAAGATCCAGTAGCGGCGGAAGCAGGCGAACAGAGCGAATTGAAACCAGGAGTACAGAAGGTCGCCTGTGAGGATTTCAAGTTAGATTTGAAGCGCTAGCTCCTGTCTTAATTGCAATACCAGTACAGGACTAGTGTGTATAAAGGTGTACAAACAGTGATAGTTCTGTATTACCTATATTGAGTGTGTTTAAGGGAGATTGTTACTAATGAGCTAAAATCCACACTGTCGGGCGACAGAGCAGATACTCGTGGGTTGCTTTGACGGAGTCGGTTGAGCGGCAAACGTCCGTCGTATTGGCTGAGCTAAACTGCTGGGAGATGCTTAATTCAAGAGAGTTTATTACGCAGTAAATATGTACAACTATTACAACAGGAAATCTGCTTAAGGCTTTATCAGTGGCTATTCTTATTTGCTATCCCCAGTTCAAAACAAGTCTTGTTTGTCCTCTGGCAGATAACATCAGTGAAAGTCGAGTTACAGTATATGACAAACCTGTGCTCTTACATTTCATAATTATCATTCAGTATTACATTGAATTCAATAAAATGTTACTTATGAACCGTAACCATTGATATTCTATCCACCATATACCTGTTATATTAATAATATCCAATACAGCACACCGTCATATACAAGACTAGAACCCGTCATTATTGTCACGCGTACCTTCCTACACGTGACGGTATGTCGTAGTGATTGTGTAAAGTGCGCCATGTAATATTGAATCAATCTGTATATATGGAACACGTCAGTTCATACGTAACACTATAGGCTTGTATTCTGAGTATAAGTTGTCTGCGTGTAGTAGTACAGATAGTTACCCCTGTAACGGGCCATGGAGGCCCATAGGGCTGCGAGACGTCGAGGTTTCCATATTTTCTAGACAGTCGGCTCACAGATGGCGGTGAGGTTGTCAGCCTTATGCACCTTCTGCTCTTTAACCCCAGGAATATTCCTGGTACTTATTTCTGTTAGAGGCTGAGCCGACCCCAGGGCCATAGTGAGGCTGGAATGTTTAGGTCAACTGAAGAATAGTTTGACATCACCGGGATTCGAACCCGCGACCTTTCGGCTTTTAGCATAGTGTCTGAGGAAACCGCGCTACCGCGTTTAATGGGCTTATCAATTTGTTTTCTTCCTCCTTCGCATTCGTTCAAATGCAACTGAGATCTGTTCACAGTCTCTTAATTATTTAAATCAGCATAAAATGACCCGAATTGCTACACATTTCGGAATTAATTGCTCAGTTTCAGACATTTGTTAATTTATGGAATCTGCCCTACCACACTAGATCTTAAGTCAATATATTTCCGTGCTATTGCATTGTCGTTGTTCACGCTGAAACGTATTTGTTTGAGAACGAAAGTCTCTCTCCGTTCCGCGTTAGTTTCCTTTGTGGCGTTCGTGTTTGCATGTTTCAAGTTAAGTTTGGTTAAAGACTGCGGTGAATGAGTAATACATCAACGCAACAGCTTTCCGGAATGCAATAAAATGATTGGTTTGGAACTTCACTGAAGAGCATGTTGGTTCCTTTTGATGTCTCCCCATGTTGCCACGTTTAGCGGCTTATACCTATTTCCGTTATCTGGATGGCAACAGCACACGAACCCTACGAGATGACAAGCGATTTGTAGAGGATTATAAATGTAAGGAGAATTTTCAAATTGTAGTTTCTTTACATAGGTGTTCTGGTAAGTCTGTCGTCATTTCTAATTTCTCCCTTACACGCAGCCCCTTTCCCTTTGATATTGAGGTCCAGTGGACATACCACGTGACATGAGACGACCTGCTGAATGTACATGTGTTTTCAGGGAGCACAAAGCAGAGAGCTCTTTTTCGGAAGTGTTTAAGGGAGGTTTTGGAAGAATGCAATTCATAAAAGTGAGTTAATTCCTATTGTGTTAGTGGGCTACGTGTTCAGCTCCTATTTCCCGCTCCTCGAGAGTTGTCTAAGCCCCACAAGATGGAGGCAGAGAATGGTCATACAGGGACAGACTTACTGGAACCATTAATCTTGATCGGGAAGCGTTCAATTTCATTTCATGTTGAGAAATGCGGGGCCGTGTTTCACGATTGCAGTTCGTTCTGTCACAGTGCTGACTCTACAGTCCCCTTGGGCTCTGGCCTCTGATTCTCAGTTACAGACGGTAAGACTACTTGGACGTGTGATCAGCTCGTCGCAAAGCCTCTACGTAAACACAGGACAACACAAAGACAGAATAAACAGATAACACATACAAAAGATCCATGCCTTACCTGGGATTCGAACCCACGATCCCGGCTTCCGAGCGAGCGAAGACAGTTCATGCCTCAGACTGTTCGTTTACCGTAACCGGCACATATATATATATATATATATATGCAGAACTGAGAATACAGCAAGGAACTGTTCGCATGCAGTGCACTTGAGCTTCATGTGGTTTACTATACAGTTCTGCTCTGTAATATTTAAGATTTGAGATGCTTCCTCGCGGAAAATTCCATTCCACATCCCCCCCTCTCACTGAGAGGTGTTGGCGGCAGAAGTGGCCGTTTGAAATTCCATACCGAAATCTAGCGGCACGATGCACAGTTATTCTATTATTGAACTGGCTGTTTGCATAGATAAGGGAAACACGGCGCGTTAGAAATGTGAGTGAACAGGGTCATGCACATACTGAAGCAGAGAAGGGCGTGGTCTAAGTAGGCATGTCATTTCAGACATTCTCCCGCCGAAAGCGAAACATTTGAAATGTTTACGGTAGGTTGACACCTTCTGAAGGAAGGATCGCAGGATTCAGGACTTTTAAAATATACGCTAAGCTTTTAGGATGGTGAATCTACTATTTCGGTCTTGGCACAAAAATATCATTTTTTTCGGCGACTAATCCTTTGTTAACACTCAGTTCTATGAAATGTTTATGTATTTAATCCATCAATAATGCAACAAATTTTTTCAGCAACTACGTCTGCAATACACGCATCACATAGCTTTAAACATGTGGACAGCGCCACTTACGGGTTGGATAGGATTTTACGAAAGATCTTAATTTAAGTGGACTGCAACGCGCAATTTTAGCGCGCATCAAAACAGTGTAACAGTTTGGACGCATCGAAACACCCGAGAATGGCCGTCTGTGGCCGAAACGTGTTGGTGTTGAATGGTGAATATTTTAAGGATTGTTGCATTATTGACGGACTAAAATACATGGAGGTTTAATTAAAAGTGTGCAACAGGATGCTGAAATACAGAATAACCCTTCTATAATATAGAAATCAATACCCTTGTATTAGTATCCGATTATTGTGTACAGACATTGCTGCATGTTTCGACTCTGTCAGGTCATCATCAGGCAATAATTACATGAATGTGTAGGTGAGTTATAAATTTTCATTCTGATCGCGTCGATGTGGCAGAGTTTACTACTCTATTTCCATTATCATTACTAATTTCTTACAAATTCTCATTCCCAATTGTCAGTTTGAAAATATCTTCCCTGCCTACTTTGGCACTGATGTCTCGTAATAAAAATTTCACACGGTACTTCACATGTTAGAGTTTGTCATAGAGCCTGCGATCTATATCATCAATTTTATCTTCTCTTGAGACAATATTACAGATACATAAAGAAATTTGAAAGAGCAAGCTTGTAGGCCGCGCCCTAGCTCAAGCGGTTGTCGCTCGCTTCCCAACGCCATGTTGCGTTGAAGAGTATATGAGGCAATAAAATCAATAATTTGTTTAGCAGAAATATATCTATAGGATCGGACGGTATTCCATAAAGTATCACTCACCTGTAGAGGCTCCGAGCAGCTGAAAGGCAGGCAGCGAGTGTTACCTGGATGCGACCGTAGCAGTTGAAGTGTCGGCAGGGAATATTACCTGACTCCGACCACAGCAGCTGAAGGGTAGGCAGGGACTGAACTGCTTCCGCGATGTGCGCACAGCGACAGAACCAGAGTCAGGGCGCACCCTCGCGGTGGCACTCCGAATCAATGTAGTCTTGTCGACATTTTAATGTTCCGTTACATTACAGAAACTGCGGGTTCCTGAGAAAAGGGTGCTGAGGAGAATATTTCAACCAAAGAGGGATGAATTGACAGGAAATTGGAGGAAACTGCATAATGAGGAGCTTCATAACTCGTAGTGTTGAAGTATAATTAGAACGATCAAGAGAAGGAAGGTGAAATGGGTGGAGCATGTAGCACGAATTAGGGTAAATAAGAATGCATATAGAGTATTAGTGGGAAAGCCATAAGGAAAGAGACCTCTACGAAGACCAAGACGTAGGTGGATGGACAATATTGAAATGCAACTTAGAGAGATAGGATCGGGTGGTATGGACTGGATCGAGCTGGCTGTTCTTGTGTACACGGTACTGAACCTTCATGTTCCACAAAATGCTGAGTAGTTGCTCAGTTGGGAGCTTCTCAAGAAGGGCTCAGCTCCATGAAGTTAGATTATTTTAGTTAGTTACCTTAACATAATGCTGGGTATGAAGGTACAATTCTAGGTATTGTTAGCCCGGTAATTCTAGGTTGGATGGGGAGAAACCTTCGGTTATGAGCGAGCAGTGAAGTCAAATTGTCCCCACTTTATAGACACTATTTTTTTAAATAAAATTTTAAACATGTGTGCACTCATGCTTCGGGTGAAGTGCATTAAGTTAAGGGAAATGTGCGTTGAATTTTTTTAGAAGTTACCTTGCTAAAATATCCACTTTAAGAGGTTGCCCTGAGGTATATTTTCTGTCGTTTCTCGAAGTTCCGGTTCTTAAAATGGGTTTCAGCTCACTTTAATATCCATGTATATTCGGTGTCCCTAAAGGAATTTCAGGAGCTCAAACTTATGCTGATGTGGTTCCTGCAGACAGTAATACCAATATGCCGGACAGGGAATGTTATGACGTGGTTAGGATGTGTAGTTTAGGCCCTGTATTTCTCAAGGTCAGGAGGTGTTCGAAGAATGTTCAGTTTTTTTGGGTGTATTTTTGTATCGCCGTCCTGCATATGTTTACTCCGTGGCCTGTACTCCGCAAGCGAACTATAGCGACCGAGCGACCCCCGCTTGTAGGCGAAGTTATTGCCAACTTTAGCGGAATGAGGGTGCCGCCTGATCGGGGCAACGGAGCCCCACGACCGTTAATCTCTGTTTTCTTACGGAACATTATATCCAGCAAAACGAGTGCATATATTTGAATTGTAGTTCTTCTCTCTTGGTAGGAATTTCTCAGAGATACTAGGTGGTTGAAATATGACCGTGACTGATTTTTTTTTGTAAACGAGCCGCACTGCGCAGCAGCTGTGCAACCTTGAGAGATTGTAGCCACAACATCCACTCTCCCTCCTGTTAGGGTTAGAACCTGTTCAGTGCTGTCTGGGAGTTGCTAGAGTGATGAGCGTACAGAAGGTACCGCGGATCGCGGAGCAACGCATTGTGATCAAATCCCTCTTTGGAGAAAACGTCCAGTCCACTGAAATTCACCACAGACTCGAACAACAGTATTGGGAAGAGTGTCTCTCACAGACCCATGTGTTTGAGTGGTGTAAGTGCTTCAGAGAGGTTAGAGAGCGCGTGGAGAATTAACCGCATGATCATTGGCCGCGAACATCCGTCACCGATCCAAACACTGATCGTGCAGACGAGCTTATTCGTGAGGATAGGCGCATCACTATCAAGGTACTTGGAGCAGTGCTGTCCATCAGTGTTGGTAGTGTAGAAGACATCGTGAAATACCTCCTGCACTATCGCATGGTGAATGCACGGTGGGTACCACGCACTTTGACGAGCGTGAACAAAATGGTGCGCATGCAAGCTGCCAGTCGTCTCATACAGTAGATTGAAGCTGAAGGTGATGCATTTTTGAAGTCTGTAGTGACCACCAATGAAACGTGGGTGCTCTACTTCATTCCCGAGTCCCAGCAGTCATCACGCGAGTTGCGGCATACCAGTTCTGTCAAACCCAAGAGAACACAGAGGAGCAGTTCGGCAAGAAAAGTGATGGCAATGTTCCTCTGGGACTAGCAGGGGGTTATCCATATAGACTTTCTGACAGATGCCAGAACAGTCAATGCAGCTTATTACTCAGACCTCCTGGCAACAGACGTGAAGGAAAAGACCCGATCCAAGCGGAAGACAGGTGGAAAGCGGGTAGCCTTCCTTCAAGACAATGCACGCACCCATACGGCCAAAACAACAATGGAAACCCTCCGGAAATTGAAATGGAACCTTCCGAAACATCCCCCGTACAGTCCTGATTTGGCATCAAGTGATTTCTACCTGTTCGGAAGGCTCAAATCAGACTTGAAAGGCATGTGGTTTGTGGACAACGACGTCGTCATCCAGACTGTTCGAAAGTGGATTCGCCGCCAACCACAAGTTTTTTTTTTTGGGGGGGGGCATCAGGATGCTTCCAGAAAGTTGGAAAGAATGTGTTGACTCCGGAGGGGAGTACGTTGAAGACTGACATGTGCAAGTAAGTGTTTGGAAATTATGTTTTTTTTTGAACCAGTCCCGGTCATATTTGAACCAACTTGTATTTTGTTCCTTACTCGTCCGTTGCATGGATGAAGTTATATAGCCTGCACCCAGTTGTGTGTCTCACAAAATATATGTAAGGTCTATGCTACCGTCAACACAAGCAATATTTCAGTATTACATTAATTATTTATTTACTGCGACATGTTTCGGGCATACATGACCATCATCAGGCAGGCATACGTCGAACAACCGCACAGTGTAGAACACACGAGCACACCGAACGTGTATACTTCCAGACAAAAAACATACGCCACATGGCACGTTGCATATATAGGATACATAGGGTGGGAATACCATACCATACCATACCTACATACAGACAAACTTGCACATCATTGAAAAACGTGTCTTTGGACCTCACATACAGGGCTTATTATGTAGAGTTTCTGCAACAAGACGTAGGCAACACACGCCGAATTTGTACACTGTAGCAGGATATACCATTGAAACATACAGACCCCTAACGCACCCACATATATTTTTAATATTTATTAATATTCTTTTATGTACTGCTAATTTACCTTTAATATTTTTAATAATAATAGCTCACCACTTTTATATATAGCATACTCTTATTTATTTCTATCTATCTATATATTTTTTTATTTATTTAATCATGCATTTGCAATTTTAACTATACACCCATCTGAGGCAAAGTCTTAATGTTGATATTTAATACGACGCGTTGCACCGATAAGGATCGGTATACGCATTTCAATACCTATACGTAGTTTTGCCTGATGGTGGTCAGGCATGCCCGAAACATGTCGCAGTAAATAAAGATCTAATATATTGCAGCAGGCATGTCAAACTCAACTTGTACAGAGAGTCCAGGGCCGCACTTCAAAATAGAAATATACATTAGATATGGATACAAGGAAATTTAATTCTATTTATTATTTAGGAATAATTTCAATATAATTACCTAAAGTGGAACACTTATATTTTGCCCACAAATCAGAAATGTAATTTTACCTTCTATTTCACAACAGAAATAAGCGATTTCCCATTTTTGTTGAAAACTCCGGCGCTCACTTTCAATAGTTCTTTTTTTGCTACTTGAATTTTTTGAAAGCGACATTACCCTTCAAAGTTACTGTACATATACAAGAAATCTCGTAGTTGATAATTTAATGTTTAATTATAACCTTTATACGTTCATCACAATGTAACATCAGCACCTGTCGCTGTGTGAAAATGAACTGAAAGGCAATGTACAAGAGACTACCGGACTAGTAGGAAGGTGTATCTTGTCTCAATGGTCATAAACGTGAAAGTTTGCTAGCAGCCCATTAGACAATGGCTGGGGGTTGCAAGCTAGTTTTGAAGGTAGAAATGCCTTGCACTTATGTGTCAGTTGCCTCCCTCTTTGCATTCTTACTACGCCTCCAAAAGGCGTAGTAAGAATGCAAATACTTAGGGTGGTGAGGCTGTGCGGATTTTAGTGCATTAACCTTCTGAAATACAGCAGTTTGTCATTCACGAGCTTTACAAACCATTAGTTGGACAAACCCTTCTGCAATTCTCAGAATCACTTTTCCTGCAGCTTGCTAATTTATGTGTGCGTGAGACTTCTTTTCTTCTGGTCTGTTGGAAAATTGCCTTTAAAAAAATTATTCCACTAAAATTTTAATATTGATTTTAATATCAATTAGCTCTAAAAGTTGAGGGCCGCACTTTGTGGATATGGGGGCCTCATGTTTGACACGGCTGTATTATCAAAATATTTCTTGTGTTGACGGTAGCATAGTTCTTACACATTAGATATTATATACTTGTGTCTAACCCGAGTTATGGCTTAGAGGGTATGTGTGTTTATTAAAATATGACAGTTTTATACACAATATTGAATTTAATGATGTGTAAGAAATGCGAAGATTTAAATTCGCTGTAGCTGTTCGCTTGCCTTGCATATGTTCGGGCTTGTGCAGTTTACTTACTTCCCAGGAAATAGGCTCTCTCGACAGCGAAAGATTTAGTGAAACTGAAGAAACCGCTCCGTTAGCATGGCGAGATGCGAGTATTTGTTCTGCAGAGAATGAAACGCGTTTATTGACGCTTGCCAGGAATTCGGCTGTTGGTACAGAATCAGAAAATGTCGAAAGTACTTTCGTGCAAGTGACAGTGACAGGGGCAGTGAGAGCAGGGTGCCCGCACCGTACGGTGTGAGATCTCCTGAATGCAGATGGTGCAACTGCGTGCACTCATGCAGTCTACACGGAGTTGGCGTATTCGCATTTGCTCGCAAGTCTGAGTTACCCCGCGCTCCTAACAAACACGGAGCACTGATTAGCTTATGTATGACGCCAAATGAAATAGCTCACGTAATACACACTTACAGCAAATAGTTTTATCTGTATGCGTTTTAAAATAGCTGATAGCAAGCAGAGATGAAA